GGAATGTGTCTGTTTCCCCACACTTTTATCAACTCTGGGTGTTACCTTTTTTTTTCACTCTGGTGGGGAAAATGGCATCTCATTTATATCTGGTATGTTTTATATGAATCAATTTAACATTTCCAACAGCCTTTTGGCTTCTGTATCATTCTCTGTATTATACAAAAAGAGAAAATGAGGCTCAGAAAGTTGGAGTGACGTGCCCAAAGCTACGTCTAAATAAGAGAGCTTAAATTTGAATTGTCTTCTCTCTGGCTCCAGAGTCCACATTCCTTTCTCTGTTGTCACACAGCCTCTTCAGCTAGAGACTAGGATGTTTGGAACTTTGGTCTTATCCTTGAGTAAAACCTTCTAGAAGATTTCAGGATGGGAACTCAGGGAAGAATTCGCTCTGACCTGCTCCATTTAGCATTTGACAATGAGGGGCCTGGGGGCTGCTGCAGAGGTTGCCACCCAGCCTCACTGGCACTGCAATGCAGCAAATGCATCCAAAAATATGTTAGAAAACAGAAAGGCCTTTATAATGAGCCTGGGCCTTCCTTTGTCTTGTGAGGTTTTAACTACTGTAGTGTGAAGTAGTGTATTTTTCATGTATCTATTTTTATTCTGTGTCTATCTGCTTTTTTGTTTTGTCTTGTTTCGTTTTTTTGTTAACTCACTTGAATCCTGGCGGGTAGTTTTCCTGTGAATAGCATTGCCTCGGGGAAGCACTCACTCTCACACACACACACACACACACACATACACATGCACACATAATAATAATATGAAGACTAAATAGGGTAGAATTTATTCTTTAAAAAAAGCTAATGGTAAAGTCTGAGTGGGTGACTTTCTCATCCATGCTGTATTTAATTGGCTGTATTGAGCCATGCTACAAATTAAGTCTTCTCTGTAATTTATTCTGTCAGATAATAACCCTCCAAACAATTTGATACTTCATTGAAACATTGGTAAATGGCTTATGGAAATGCTACGGAAAAAAAAAGGATTTAATGATGTCAGATAAGAAACCCTCTGTTCACAGAATGAATCCTATGTGAAATGTCGTGAATCAATCTGACTCAATCATTCATTGAGCATTTCTTGAGCAACTACCTTGTACGTGTATGTCTTCAGATGGCTTAGTTCTTCCTTCCTTCTTGAATTCATTGAACATTATTTAGCACTTACTGTTCAAAAGGAACGGTATTAGGAGCTGGGATAAGACTGAGGAGACCAGACATGGCTGGTTCTGTGGAGTCAATGAAGCTTGGGTCAGGGATGAAGAGGGCAATCGGTGGGGAAAACAATGTGAGCAGTGGCCCAGAGGTGGGAAAGTCTAGAACCCAAAGCGGGAGTGATGAGCTCTTTAGATTATCTGCAGCCTCACTTACCTGAAGTTCACCTCTGGGAGGAAGGGCGGACTGGATGGACGAGGCTGACCTCTGGATTGTTCCTGGAATTCTTCGGTGACAACTTTCATCCACACCGTAAAGAACAGGGTTCAGAATGGGAGGAATACATGAAGCTGTGGAAGAGAAGCAGGGTGTCTTGAAAACTCTATCTTTAAAATACCTGCTTTTATTTTTTGGCAGTACTTTAACATCTAGACTAGTTTTCCAAGACAAAAACTATTTTCCGAAGGAAATGTAGAAGGGCAACCAGAATCTGCCTTTCCTCCACCTTCTCCCTCCCTCTCCAGCCCAGTATTTTCTGCTGCCTCCAGAACAACCCATGATGCTCCAAGAATTCCCCCACAGAAACACTCCTAGAATGAGCAGTCTTTGTCTCCTGTGGCCCTGGACCCCACTTCGCCTTTCTAGCCTTGGCTGCTTAACAGAAACCACAGATGGCCAGGCTCCTGAGAACACACTGCCAGATCATGCTGTCTTGACCTTTCCTTTGAGATCCTTATAGCTGGTCTTTACCCCAAACCTTCTGATTCACGACCCTCTCTGACCTCAGATACCTGACAGGACAGCCTCAGCTCTACCTTCTTACCCAGCTCTCCCCTTCTCTTGCCTTCCTCTTGCCAGCTTGTCGGGGGATCATGGTTCTGTTGTTGACTAGGGAGCCAGGAGTCTAAGGGAAGGTGACCTTGATTCGACACAATATTATTTCCTCTTTTGAAAGCTTTGTCACCCTGACGAGGGAGAATGAGGCCTGGTTTAGGACTAGTTCTGCCAGAACGCTCTCTGACCCTCTGTCCTTTCATGAATAAACTCAGAGTTGACCTGTGTGATGTATAAGGTTCCTCTGGCTCCAGTTGTCTTTGATTGTGCTGATAAAATCTGTTTAAGACATGGAGCAGTTTTGAGGCTCAGTGAACAAGTATTTGCCAGATCCTCTGAGTTGCTGAGATGAACGTGGTGATACAACTGTGGCATTAGCAGGATTGTGATGTCTTTGTATTTCCAAGTATCTGTGTTTTGTATGCGTGGTTAAGGGTGGAGAAAGTGGAGACATATTCCCTCACTGACTCTTAGTTTCCAAATGAATGAGCCACTTTCACAGTAATCCTTTTTAACATGTCATAAAATTAACTGTGGGCAAAGATAATGGTACAAATATCTTTAAGCACTTCACGCGCACACACAGTTATACTTGGTGAGGCAAGTATATTATTAGGTATCATCAGGCATTAAAAATGTTTTGATTTTAAAACACTTAATGAGGAGGCCCAGATAAATTAAAACATCTCCATCTGCTGTGTGCATAGGAAGTGATATTTGACCACTGCACAGTCATCTCCAAATCTAATTCCACCAGGAAGACTTCTAATCGCAGTTTAATTTCAGAGCAATATCCCGCTTGGCAATCAATAAGGCACTGTCGTCAAACTTTGATTTAGTAGGAGACGAGGATAACGTTCTGCACATTATCCAGAGAGAGAAATACTTTCAGCAAAGGCAGAGAAGGAGAACATGTTTGTCTCCCACTTTCTCCTGCTGCCTACCATTCGAGCTCACAGAAGCCTATAAATCAATACCCCCGTGTTGTGTGAGTGTAAATCTCATCAATTTTACTTCATTAACACCATAAAAAAGCTACCGTTCTTCGAGCAGCTTTCCTCTGCTAGCTAAGTATGTCCTCTTAATAAAACGAGAATAAATGGATCCTGATTATTTTACTAACAACGCTTCCTTCTTCGCCAACTTTATTTGTGTTGAAATACACTAAAATTAAACAATTACCCTTATGACCACTTGAGGAGCTGAGGTGACTGGGCAGTGACACCACCCCTCAAGTATGATGTACAGTAGGCAGCAGGCAACCTGGACAGAGCATGAAGCTGAAGGGAGAGCTCCCAAGAGTAGTCAAAGAGGTTAATGAATATCAGACTCTAGAAGGTTAAGGTGTATCAGCAAATTCTACTGCAGAAGTGATTCCTAAGCTCAGAAGCCTGGAAAGATGGCAATGGGCTGGGAATGGACATTATGGAAGGCCAGGACGAATGGTCCAGAACTACGATAATGACCATCGTGAGAGCCAGATGCCCACTGTTCCAAAATGCTGGCTGTGTGGTTCAAGGTCCTAATGCCTAAAGGATCTGGGGAGATGGAACAAGACCTTAGAGAACATCGACTCTAGTGGTTCCCAACATTTTCATAACAAAATTCCCCTTGTGTTACATTCTCACTCCATGGACTCAGTAACGAGGAAGATTTTTTCCACCAAAAAAAATGCATGTATAATCATTTACTGTCCTCTTTGGATTCTTTGAAGCCATAACTAATTGCCAAAGAGAATCTGCTCAAAGATTAGCTAAAGAGGACAACAGTAACCTGATACAATTCCAGTAAATTGGTGTTTTTATTTGCATGCACAATGAAATGTGTAGTCTTATCAGCAATAATTATAACCGTCTGTTTAGCTTTTTGAAATATTGAAAATTGCCTAGGACCTCTTTTTATTACCTTTAATGACCCCAGTAGACCCAGGGCTTTGGGTTAAGAGCCATGGATCTGGCACAAACTTCTCATTTGATAGAGCAATAAACTGAGGTCCAGAGAGGTACAGTGAGTGCCTTGGGTTCACATACTGACTAGAATTCAAGCCTCTTAACACCCAGTATAATGAAAAGGCCCGTTATAAGGACTTTAAACATGTCGTATAACACCCAGACGCATACATAAGCCTTTACAGAATACTGTTGGGTGAGGATTGCTTTAAGTAGGTTTAATATAGGAAAATGGCCATAAAAATCAACATCACCAAAAGGATGGTGAATATTATTTGTTGCAGCTTAGACAATAAAAGCAGGAAGCTCAGTTTCAAAAGATTTTCAAATTGCTGATCAGCTATCCCAATTTACTTTAGATGATCAGTTATCGGCCAGGCACAGTTTCACAGAGGTGGTGCTGTTTCAAATGGCCTTTGCAAGAGGAATAGGATTCGGGTAAGTACATAAAAGAAGGAACAGACAGACAAGACAGAGGAACCAACCTGTGGAAAGCCTCAGAGCTACGGGGGACCCCACCTCTAGCCCAAGCAGTGACTTTGGACAAGATAGAGAAAGGTGTTCGTTCCTCAAGACACCCTATCACCATCTGTCAGAAAGGTGTTGTAACCATGTAAACGTCTGGGTCTGTGATGTGAATGGCGCCCCGTGTAGTCGTGCAGTGGACATCTTCCACTGTGGCAAGCAGCTGCTCTGCGTGTGTCAGTGTGTTAAGTGTCAGGCCAGAACTTAGACTGGGCTGTGTCGTGAAGAAAGACATCTCAGAGCCCACACCCTGAGTTAGACTGGCTGGCTCCGGCAAGCTCACGGAAGCCACCGCACAGATGCTCGTTCAACATGTGAACGGTCCTGTTCGTCTCTCTGGTCACAGCATTAAGACCAGGGAGGGATGCCTCCATTTCTCAAGGGCAGGCATAGCTCTCCTCCTCCCATCTGGACCAAACAGCTTTTCCAAAGCCCTTGGAGCCTCTTCACACGTAGCTGAAACACATCTCTTATTGATCAACAGCTCGAAGGGAAAGTCCCTTGAAATATGTCTTCCTTTTGTCTCCGATAGGCCCTTCAGCATCATCATGCTGTTCACGAAATTTCCTACATTGCAAAGGACATCACAGATCACCGGGCCTTTGGATACGTTTGTGGGAAGGAAGGGAATCACAGATTTGTGGCCATAAAAACAGCCCAGGCGGTGAGTATCCCACCCAAGGAGGGCGCCTTCCTTGTAAGCTCAGGGGACAGCACAGCCACACTGCTGGTCTTTGAAGGCCCACTCTGATGTCTGGCTGAGCGGTGCTGACGCTCAGGTTCCCATCTAGAAAAGATAGACAGCCTCGGAGTGAGGAAACGTGCTCATGCCCATCTAGTTGTTGGTTTTTCTAATGGATATTTCTTAATGACTAATTATTTTCCTCTCTGATTAAGCTGGATGGAGGCACAGTATACAAATAAGTTTCCTTGTGTTCATAGCCTCATTTAAAAAGAAAATAAGAGAAAATAAATAGCTATTTTGCATAAGGCCTACCCTAATTTTATTGTATTCGAAATTACTAATAAATAAAAGTAATGCTTTTTATGCTTATGATTATTATGAATTTGCAAATATAATTAGTTGAAGAAATGAACTTTAGCCTAGATGCAATTTGCTAAACCAACATAAACAAGGTAGAATTAATTAAAGATGGAATGCTTTCAGTTTAGTAGAAAAAGCAAGGACCGCTGGTTGTAGCAGGCAAAACGGAACTTGGTGGCTGCGGCTCAGGGCCGTTCTCTCATTAATGCGCTTTACCACCTTTTACTCCAGGCTGAACCTGTTATTCTGGACTTGAGAGATCTCTTTCAACTTATTTATGAATTGAAGCAAAGAGAAGAATTGGAAAAAAAGGCACAAAAGGATAAGCAGTGCGAACAAGCTGTGTATCAGGTATACCCGTGACTTTATCCTGGTTCCGGAGACGAGTGGGGCTTAGAGTAAACAGGTGGAAACTGACAGTCAGGGCTTCTCCTCCTGCTGCCAAGTGGAAATGAACAAAGACCGAAGGTTCCCGTGTAAATCACAGGCACCGAGGCAGGCGCTAGAGAGGCTCCCTCATTCTCTGAAATGCCAGACGCCTCAGAGAAAGTGGGATCTCGAATCCGGAGGAGGATTTCAGGGCAGGAGGACTGAAGAAATGCAGCTGCCTTGCTATTGTTAACGATGGGGGTGGGGAGCCGCAAGGGATTTGATTTTTTCTCTGTGTTTTCTACCTTAATGACCCACCAGCCTATGCTGCCCAGAGCTGGTTTCTGTACTGTCCTTAATTTCTGAATATAGTCTCACATCTCTTCCTTTTCTATCCTCTGCTTTTTACCCTCCCTTCCCTCATTCTGCTGTAGACAATTTTGGAAGAGGATGTGGAAGATCCTGTATACCAGGTAATTTCTGAAACCAGTCGGGGTTTAGGGTCAGGAATGGCCAGGCCTGTGGTAGAGAGATTCTGCCAGAGACCTGAAGAATCCGCTGACTGCAGAGCTTGGAGAGCGACCAAGGTTATTTCTGATGGGGAGGGCTCCCAGCCCCTCTGGGAGCGAATTCCCATAAAGACTAACAGAAGTTTGGCTGGCATCAATAACATGGGATTTGGAGATTCGCTTCTCCCTTCTTGCCCCGCCTCAGCACCCTCCACAATCTAAAAGTTTGATCCCAGAGCTGAAGGTTTTCAAGAGTCTCTTGAATATTCTGAGTTCGTTAGAGAGACTGTGAATAATGAGGTGGCCTCCCTGAGTTAAGAAGCAGAGATGGGGACTGACATTTTGACAACATTCAAATGCGAACCCGAAGGACAGTTTATAAGCTTTAGAAAGGCTGTGAGGGGAGTCCTCGCTGGCTGCCAGCAGCCGGGCTGCCCCTCTGATTGCCGGCTCTTGTCCTAGGACCTGTTGTGAGGAGGGAAAGGGCCATCCTGGAGACCTTGCAGCCTGCAGCTTTCTCTGGGCTCTCCTCTAGGTTGCAGCCTAGGTGAGAGTAGAGAGGTGATGTCTCTTGAGTTCAATACGTGCTCTGTTCAAACAGACGGAGAAAAGAGGGAAGAGAGGGCCTCTCCTGTCCTGTGCTTATTCCCAAGGAGAGAAAGAAGCCACAAATTTGACTTGTTGGACATAAAAGCAAACCTAAAACTTATATTTCTAACTGGGACACACATGGCTTCTATGTGTGTGTGTCACAGATGCGTTATATGTAAATGCATGTTTTCACACGGCTGGTACCACAGTGATGAAAGTAAAATAACATGGATTTTTAAAAAGTGATATAATATGGAAAACCTGAAGTGGAAGAAGTATCTAGCATATATGCAAACAAAAGTCCCAGATGCACTTAACGACATTCGCTTGCTCTAGAATGCTGAGGGCAAGGATTTGTGATAATATGAGCTCAGCCAGATGAAGACTCTTGCCCTCTTTGAAATGACCCAGGACTTTAGAGTCTGAAATAGGCACTATAAAATTTGATTTTCACTATTTAAAACTGAGAATGTAAAATAAGGTGATATTTGTGGGATGAGGGAGTTTGGGGCTTCTGAGCACTTCAGAGTTGGCTTAAGACCTTGAGCCTTTGGAGGTGAAGGGAGTGGCCCTCTAACCCAAGGCTGACAAAGCTGGGATCCAGGCATTCCCACAAGACGTCATTCCCACTCAGCAGAGCCATCACGTGCAGACTTTGCGGAGATAAATTCCACTGAACGAAGAGGTGGTCTCTCCAGAAAGATCTGTGGGGCCCCAGGCAATCATCCCTAAGGGACTGATGGTCAGACCTTTGCAGTTTTCCTTAGAAAAGACAAGAATGTGAAGGCATGCGTGGTATTTCAGGAACTCAGTTGTCTCTTTAAGGTATTTTCTCTGGTGTCTGTTTCTTTAATGCTCACTGTGATTTGTATCTTGAATTCCAAATGCTTTTTTTCCTCTTTCTTTTCCCTTCTGAATTTTCCTCTCTGGCTGCTCCGTAATAGTACATTGTGTTTGAGGCTGGACACGAGCCAATCCGTGACCCGGAAGCGGAAGAAAACATTTATCAGGTATAAGATCGCTTCCCTCTCCCACCCTTGCACCGCTGCCCATAAATGCATGAAGAGTCTGAGGAGCCAGGGCGCTCTCCTCACCAGCTCCACGGCCCTCTCTCCAGGCTTGTTTAAGCACCCGTGCGTGACTGGCTCCTAGTCCTCCTGCAATTTACCAAAAGTTTCCATGACTTATTGTGGAAATGGTTAATGGCCAGTTGGGTACCGTGTTTTAATGTTTCATCGATCTTAACTGTTTTCAGTTGATTCAAAAGTCAAACATTCCAGTTCACTAAAGTAATCCATTGGAGGGTTGTTGTCCATAATATAGTACAGGCAAAGACTTTATTCATCCAATTTCTTTAAGAAGCAAACCGCACTACTGAAAATGAAGTACAGATTCAAAAATGCTATTTGAAGACAACATTGGGAATATTAATGGAATAAAGAAAGTATAGCTAAAGGTTTTACCCCTTCTGGAGGGAAGGTAAATCAATATTCTTAAATGTCTGCTTATGGGAAGATCCATGAACACACTTTAACTCATGTAATTCTCACAAATATGTGATAAAGTAGCTATTTAGGTCCCACCATTACAAGGGGAAACTGAGCCTCAGAGAAATAGAGCAGCTTCCACAGGGCTGCACCACCATTCAGAGCTGAGACCAAACCTGGGCAAGTGTGTTAAGGCAGAACTCACGCTTCTGCCTCTGCCTTTCCATCAAAGAGCCTGAGGAATTGCAGCATAGCAACACATCAAACAAATATGACGACCTCCGATTTTTCACTAATTAGAATTTTAGTCCTCATTTGAATATAAACATTGTGGAAGAAGGAAAACATTTAATGTATTTGTAAGTGATTTTAGTTTTCTTAATCTACTTTGTCGTGGGGTCTGTTACCCTGCCTTGGGCATGCCTTATTTGTGTAATGAAAGTAAAGCAGATTTTCAATTTCCATCAAACGCACAGAATTCTAAATGACCAAAGTGTAGCGTTAGCTCTACCAGCAACTCGGTTCAAACCGGCCCTGTGGATTAACCATCTAAGTATTTCTATCCACTGGATCCATCTGGAGTGGATTCAAGTGCGAGGTTGTGCTTTGAGGCTTTGCTTAAAAATCATCGCTTACAAAGTTTCGGTCTTTAAACAGAAAAGTTGCAAATTTGTCCTCAGTGTCAGACTTTAAAGTACAACCTTGCAGTGTCTGAATATGAGGCCAAAGGAACCACTAACCAGTCATCCTGTAAAGACAGAACACCTTTTAAAACACAAATAGGCTGTTCGTCATAGGAGGCTCCTGAATTCAGGCTGAGCTCTGGTTGTCAGGCTCCCATTGTGCTTGGGGACTGCTGGTGGGACATCCCCGTGTCCTGGGAAGAACTGGTTGAGGCAAGTGGAGAACTGCGTCCTAGTTCTGGCTCTGTCACCAACTGCGTTTGGCTGAGTGGTAGTGGGCAAGGCACTTGCCCTCTCTGAGCCTCAGTTTCCCCAATGATAAAATAGGGGTCTAATTTCTCCCTGACTCACACGTTGGCCAGAGAATGTAAAGGAGAGGCTTCATCCTGGGTCACACGCTGAGTCCATAGGATCTTAGTACCAGTGCCCACTCAGCCATCAAGCACCCTGTCAAGTTCCTTTCCTTCTCAGGGCCTCAGTTTACCCATCTGTAAAATGAGCAAATATGACTGGAGAGTCTCTCAGGCAAGGCCGTTTTCTATTCCTTGCAACGAGTGCTTCGTCAAAGGCTATGATTCTTCAGAGAAGCATGTTGGCTTGCTTTTCAGGGCACAAGGCTCTTAGAAACGGTGTGTGCATGCGTGTGTATGCGTGTGTGTGCGTGCTTTTGGTAACATTTATTGAGGGCTGAGTGTGGGCCGGCTCTGTGAATGGATTTACAGGCAGTATCTTACTATATCTCACAACAACCCTGTGCGGCTTGACCTGCTGTTCCCACCTCACAGAAGAGGAAACCCCACAGAGATCCAAGACCTTGCCCCGGGTCACAGCTGGCCAGAGTTCGAGCCCCCACTCACACCCAGGCCTCTCTAACCTCTGTAAATAAATACATAAATCCTAGGGCTCTTTCCAGCTGAGGATTCCCTGATACTGAGTTTCACAATTAGATTCTGTGTACGGTTCAAGTCACTATCTAAAAATCAACTTGTTTCACAGTCCTGTTAACAGGAGGCACTATTTACGAGGTTGAATATTTGATCACCCTCTGTGGGAGAGGCCTCTGGTCCTTCTCTCTGCATTGCTGGTCAGCTGGGCCTCAATTTGCTTAACAAGAGGTGAGCTCTGGGGCCTAAAGATAAGACTGGGCTTTGAAGGAGCTGCTATTAGGAGCCTCATTTTTTTTAAGGGCCCGCAAGTGTTCCATAGCTGCTCCTCCTCAGTAGATTGCCGTGTTTCTTATGCTTCAGCTTGGCCCACGATGGTTTCAGATTTTATTCCATCCCCTGTTTTCTGGAATGAGGCAAACAGATGTAGGGCCTAATCCTTTAACTGTTTTGTGTCCTTGGGTGAAGGACGTAACTTCTGTATCTCAATTTCCTGGGCTCTAACATAGGGATACTCTGTTACCTGCTTCTGGAAGTGACGTGAAGATGTGAGGCGAGAGGACGGCACTTGATACGGAGTAGGTTCTATGTCAATGTTAGTTCATGTTACCTCCTCATATCATCAATATCAGATGCTGTTCAGGATGTCTTAGGTGATGGAGTGAGTGGGGTAGAAAGCGACTGCTCCCCCGTCTTGTCAGAAGCCCAGCAGAAAGCTGCAGCCTCGCCCGACTTTGCTGTTTTAATCCAGCGTAAGGGAGGGGAGACAACTGAGTATGCGGAGTGCCGCTTCAAGGATCAGCAGTCTCGTTTTCCAAACTGGATTCATAATAACAATTGTCTTTCTCTTTGTATGTCTCAGAGAACGTTAGCCTCATCTTATTAAAACAACACAGAATCCCACATACAAAGTGTTTTTGCACCTCACTTAATTGTGACCCTTCCAAGGACTCAGTGGGGTAACAAGACGGCTGCAATGACTTGTTTTAAACATAAGACACTCGGGCCCCTCCAGCTGAAGCGCTGGGCCCATGGCCGGAGCTCCCTAGAAGCTTAACAAGCGTCCTGTGTAAGAGAGAGCAGCTTTCCACGCAGTCGTTCTCCAAGTTCATTCACTCGAAAATCGTTTTTAATCACCTACGATGTGTCAAGTACCGTTATTTTAAAATAATAAGTCTCTAATCCTGTGTCACCCAACCCTTAAACTGCCTCTCCACACTACTAATATGTTGCTGAGCTGGAAGTGTCTTCTGTATGTACAGTACTCAATGTATAGTTTTCACAGTAGTTTCACATCTGTTAACTTGTTCGTTCAAAAGGTAATGATGTATGGAGCACCTCGCATGTGCTGGGCACATGGTCTTGTAGTAGTGACCACAGCACATCCCACCCTCAAAGGGTTTATAGGCAACCCCTTGGATGCTCACGACAACCAGATGAGGAGCCTGAAGTTCAGAGAACAAAGTGACCTCTCTGAGGTCACACAGCATGTGGCAGAGCCAGGATTAGGAACGAGCTCTCCCGTTTCCTTTTGGTCCAGAACTGTTATCACTCTACGTCGTGTTCCTGACATGGTCTACACACTGAAAGGACCAGGCGGGCAGAGCTGAGAGCCAGGACCAAGGCTCGCTCTGGTCTTGGTCCTGTAGCACGTGTGCCCGTGTTCTGCCTCAGCACACACGTGGTAAAGGTTTGATGCTTAGATGTTTCATGTTTAACCAGTGTTTACAGATGGAGGAACAAGGATGAGAAGATATCGGCCTGCCTGTAGCAAGCTTGCAGAGCAGTAGGGACACAGAGGAGTGATGGGCAGCTGCAGTGTGGTTGACAGTGCCCATAGAAGACAACACACATTGATGCCTTACTTTGGTGGCCTGGTTACTTTCCATCTCCCCAACAAGACAAGGAGCTCTGTTCAGCCAGGGGCCATATCCGTCTTGTCCCCATCATTGTTCCAGGCAAAGCACAGTGCAGGCCACGTAAGATGTACTTAGTAACTTTTACTTTTTAATGAAAGGATGCACCAGAGGTTACAAGAGTACAGAGGAAGGTTCGAACTAGGCCTAGAGAGTCAGGCAAAGCTCCCAAGAAGATGTCCTGGCTGAGATAAATCTTAAAGCACAAACAGGCAGATTGATATCTCGCCCATGGGAGAGCCAAGCAGAAAAGCGTTTTCAATTATGCAAGTTTGGGTCTGTCCGTCCCCCTGCTTCTTCTCCGTTTGCAAGGACAATTGACAGTCAGCAGCAGTTCAACTTGCTAAGGGCCCACGGTGAGCAGTGAATTACGGGGAACAGAAATTCTGCTCGTTGTGCTCAGGAAAGGGTAAGCTAGTAAAAATAAAAGTGAGGGCTGGTTATTTATTGGCCCTCGTTAACAAGGACTCTGTAGGCATTCTCAGAGGGTTCCTTTTAGATGGAGCCCAGTTATCAGGAGCAAAGAAATTACATTCTTCAATGGCCCCCTGCACACTGAGGTTTGAAAGAGCAGCTCTGAAAGTGTGCATCTTCTGCACGTGCGTGCTTGCTGCTGGGCCAGTTTTCTCCAAGAATGTGCACACACTTCCAGGAGTGGAGGATGTGGTGTCAAAGAGAAAAGAAGCAACCAAAACAGCTATAGGGACAGTGGGAATGGGGTGAGACGCAGCTGTCTCTATAGTGTAGTGGTGAAGAGGCACACTGCCCTGCTCAGCCACCTGGCCCCGGCCCCTGCCCCTGACTGCAGGGCCCTCTCCAGGCGTCATCTTCCTCCTCTGCAACATGGGGACAGTCGTCATCCTCACCTGACTGACTTGTCCTGAGGGTTACGTGAGAATGTATGTCAACACATATGTAAGAGGGCCTGCCACATAGAAAGTGCCCCGTCCACGTTAGCACACACTGTTAGTAATAAATGTCTTGTTTGGTAACCCGAAAGAGGTGGGTTTGATTACTTACGTGTTTTGAAACTTTGGGCAAATTTCCCTTACATCTCTGAGCCTCATTTTCTACTATTTAAAGTGGAGACTATAATACCAACATTTTAGGGTTATTGTAAGGACTTTAAGTTAAGCTAATGAGAGTGAAAATGACAAAGGGACTCAAGGAATAAGCTCAACTCCTTCCTTCTCTGAGAAGAACGGGATGGTCAGCTGGTCCAAGCTGAAAGATACTTTTCTTTCACTATTCCACACGTTCCTCTGTGGCACATTCACCCAACAGACGTTTGCTGAGTGCCTGCTGGTGTTCGGCACTGTGCCTGCTTTAGGGAGCTCCCGGTGTGATGGAAAGGAAGGTTATCAGACAGTTATAAAACCACTGCTGACTCCTCCCTCCAATGGAGGTGAGCTGAGCTGTGGTAGCTGCTGGGAAAGAGCAACTAATGACTGCTTTTGATCTGGAATGTTCCCATGCAAAGCCAGTAATTGACTCATGAGAAAAGTATTCAACATACCTAATGTTGTTGGTGTTATAAAATATGTTCATAGACCTATTTATATAATGTGTCAATGACAAAAGCTATCGTGTTAACATTTTACTGTATTGCGGTTCCTAATAATTTTTATTTACTATCTATTTTCTCATTTGATCCTCACAACAGTCTGAGCGAGAAGCAGAGCCAACAGCACTCATTTGATAATCATGAAGGTCAGAGATGCTGAGCGACCTGCTCAGGGCCCAGTAAGACAGCTGGTTGAGTCAGAGAAGAGAGGGAAGGGAGAAGGTACAGATATGTGTTAAAAACAATCAGGATTTTCTGGATTCTAGTCTCACGCTTTTTGTGCCATTTATGGGCCTTTCTCTTGAAAAAGCCTTTGGTAATTATCACATAGCCTGTATGTGATCCCAACAGAAGCTGTACTTTGTTCTAACACCTTGATATTTGCTATATTTTCAAGAGCCCGGGTCTGTCTTAGTAAGGAGCGGCTTCAGCTCAGCTGCAAACTATTGTAATCACTTTGGACAACTCAGAGCTCCTCTCTGGGCCTCATTTCTGTCTTTGGTGAAATGAGGGTGACTTTTTGCACCACGTGATCTCTGAGGTCTCTGCAGCTTCCTGTGCTGTGAATCTGTAAGGAGCCAATGGCAGGGACAGCCTGCAAACAGTTGTTGACTGGGTCACACACCCTCTCCTCGTGCGCTATTCCTGAGGGAAGGAGCCTGGCCCGAGGCCTTCACTAATCAGCAGCCCCTGCACTCTGGGCCCCTTGGACCTCAGGAGCTGTTCTCGTACACACTTAGCCGGCTTCGAGTTGAAGTCTGGTTTCTTCGTTCTTAGAAAGTGCAGTACCAATGCTGACCGTGTTGCATTTGATTTTTCCCTAGGTTCCCACCAGCCAAAAGAAGGAAGGTGTTTATGATGTGCCAAAAAGTCAACCAGTAAGTGTAAGTATCCTCCCTTCTGCCAGGTCCCCGTGACCTGCGTACATACTGAGCCTGTGTCTCCAACCTAAGAAAGGGAAATGCTCTTCTGGATAAGTGTCGCAACTCATATGGCTTTGCAGGGGACTGAGGAAGAGGGCCCAATCTGGACCAAGGTCTGGCCCCTTGAGTGGAGTGAATTGAATCGTGCAAACCAGTGTGTCCAATGGACCCAAGGTTCAGGTGTTCCGTGGTGAAAGTCTTCAGCCAGAGACTGTATTCTGCCTGCTCGAACAGGCAGTAGTGCCTTGGTTCTGGGAAGAGAGCTGCCCATCTAATTTGAAAGTGGTGGAGAAGCTTCAGAGGGACCATAGGAGAAGGGCTGGCCAGGTCTTTTGGAGTCTTGAGGGTTTGGGCAACGTGTAGAGCACTGTGGGAAAGGCTGCGTGTAGCGGGCTTGCAGAGAACCCACGGGGTCCACTGAGTCTAGACCACATCTGCTGGTGGGACTCTTGGAAACTGAGACACAAAGGAAAATCCCCAGTTCTGTGGGACTGCCCCAAACCACTGCTAGGCCCAAACCCATGTTTAGGACTTCCAGTTGGCACTCAGAAGGCACACTCCATACATAATTCAGGCAGCACGGGGGAGCCAGTGAAGGCTCTTGAGCTGGGGACGTGTGACTTTGCCACCCCTGTGTAAAAAGAACTAGGGTATTTAGTCAATAGTGATTTCATTCAGCTCCACAACGGGTGGAAAAATCACAGGCTTTGAAATCACGCAGACCCTCAAGAATCCCAGCTCTGGCCCTAACAGAGCAGTTGTGAGGCTAAGTGACTCTTATCCAGAAAATTATTATCAGTTCTGGACCCTACACTGTAAGAGACATAAAGACACACCTGCAGATTGCAACATTAGATTGATAAGGGGATTTGAAACGCCATCCCATGAGGAACAGCTGAAAGACCTGGAGGAAAGAAACCATGAATCTGTGGGAGTCCAAAGGGCCGCTGTGCACGAGAGGACTATGCTGTCTGTGTCAGCCGGCTCATGGGACTGAGACCAGTGGACCAGTGGTGGCAGTGCAAGGAAACCAGTTCCAGCTCAGAGTGAGGGGGACCTTCCTGACAGGCAGAGCTGTTCAGGGTGGAACAGCCAGCACCTAGGAGAGTGAGCTCCCCATCACCAGAGCTGCACAAGAAGAGCCTGGAAGAGCACCCGTCAGAAAGACCCGGGTGGGGGGAATTCTCATGTGGAATGAGGAAGTGGGAGAGGAGCTCTTGTGCCTTCCCAACCTGAGCTGCCCGATTCTCCAGGTTGGAGTCTCTGGTCCAGACTAACCCCCCGCCCCCACCCCCCTTTTTCCTGGTGATCAATGTCCCTTTCTCTGTCACACTCTACAGTATCTTGAAACCACCATACCCTTCCTAAATATGCTTTCAAAACCCAGTGCATGTTAGTTTTAATGAAAAAACCTATCCGAGTACAGGCTCCTTTTCACAAACCCGAGTGTGGAAACCCGATAGAGAACGTGCAGTGTGGAGGCGCCCAGGAAAAGCAGTTTTTCTCCCTGAGGCCTTTGCGTCTAATCAAGCTGCTTGTCACCGCCACCCTGGTCTGCTCTTCGTGTCCCAGTCTGGTCAGCTCCCATCACACAGCTCCCTACAATTCAATTTGTAGCTAAATTCCCTCACTTGCCCCTAACAGCTTTAGATGCGTGAGGACGCACACCGCGTCTGCTGCCTGCCCAGTTTCTATGAATTTATTAGCCCGTGCTTAACAGCTGTGAAAAAAAGATCCAAGCTCCTTAGCCTGTTGTCCGCAGCACTGGGGTCCCAGCTCAGCCTGCATCTCTGGGCTCCCTCCTCCTGGTCCAGCTCTGCTGACCCCACACTTTCCTGGAGGAGTCGCGCCCTCCCCCACTCTGCAGCCCTCCCCTCATCCAGCTGGGCTTCAGGCTCTGCCCTCAGGGAGATTTTCTGGACTCCTGCCCCAAACAGTGTCAGCAGATCACGGCTCCCTTTGTGGCCCCGTTCCCTGTCATTCCTCTGTTAACAGCACTTACACACAGTGTCAGAATTCTCCCATTACTTCCAGCAGCTTCCCGAGGTCCGTGTATTACCAGAAGCAAGCCCAGGGCCTGGTTCCTGGAAGCCAAACAACACAGCTGCTCTAGGAATATTTAATAAATATATGAACGACCTTACCCTGTGGAAGGAATTTATGAAAATCCCTGGTACTTTCTTTTAAGGGGAATTCCCTGTCTTTCTGACTCTAAGATAGTCATTAAGTAAACATCCTAAGGTTTTGCTTGGAAAATATCTGGGCTGCCTGAATGGCCTGCAGTGGCTCCCAACCCCCATTCCCACAGTCCTAGAAGCATCTGATGGGGGTGATGGCTTTTCCATGAGCCATTTCAACATTTCCAGAAGCCTCAGGGAGGCAGCGGCTGACAGCGCAGGCTGCAGTGGAGAGGCAGACGGCTGCCGCTGCTGCTGCTGCCTGTGGGGCTTCTGACGAGTCACCCTGCCCGCTGAGTCCCAGTGTTCTCCTCTGCTGAAGGGGCTATGGAACCTAACTTGCAAGATGGTTTTGAGGAGAAAGTAGTGTCTGTTTTGCAAAGTGGATCCCACTTGTCTAAACGTCCCAGGGGTGCTTTAAGTACCCCACGTCCCTCCCGTTCTGGATCTTGCTGTCCCCCGGACTTGCCCTGTGGACCCGCCTCTCTGACCAGTGCACATGCCCTGGGATAGCTCTGCGGTCTCAAAATCCCTGCTGTGAGGTCGCTGTTTGCTCCCTCCCCACCTGCTCCTTTCCCAGAAGGAGAAACAGACCAAACACGACCAAAACCACGCAGGTCTAGCAGCTTCCAGGGGATTTGGGGGCCTCCACGAGTTTCCCACAAGAAGGGAAACTGCCCGGCGGCCTGTTGCTCTGGGTACCACCTGGTTTCTTCTTCCTTGGGTCCAGGGCTGCACAGAGCCCTGGTGAGGGACTCAGCTTGGGGCCGTCGTTGGGGAAATCTGCCAAACAGCCCAAAAAGAATGGCCACCTGGTCCCCAGAGTCAGATCTAGGTGCAGTGTGATCCCGGCCACTTACTAAGGGCCCTTGAGCAGCTTTTTGCATCTCTGAGCCTCAGTGTTGCCATCTGAAAAGGAAAGTAATGGCTGCCTTGTAGCTTTGTTTGGAGGATTAAAGGAGATGTTTATGTAAAACCTTTAACAGGCGATAAGGATTAAGTTAAATGAGAACATTTCCATTTATTGCTGTTACAAGCAATATGCCAGCAAACAGTTCTCACTGAGCTGGGGACTGCCAAGTATTCTAGATGCTTACACACCTCCTCCAGGAGGCCTGCCTTACCCCGGAGTAATCAGCCCCTCTGGGATACCTCTGTGCTTCTCTTTGCAATGATCGCAATGGGTAATCTTTCTTGATGTATCCACATGAGCCGTTGGACTTTGAGTTCCATAAAACCTTGGCTTTGGGGTTACTGATAGCACCTGCCGTAGTTTTGCGCGAGCACTAAGTGAGCTGAGGTGTGTGGATGAGACCAGGGCTTGGTGCGCTAGCTGTGAGCTGTTACTATCCTCTGTTTCCCCTGCTTTTCTGTGAGCTCCTTGAAGACAGCAATCCACTTTTAATCATCACTGCCTCTCAAATAACTCTTGTTGGGATTTCTGATCTCTTTCACGGTTTAATGGTAGCTCTTTGCCCAGGAAGAAACCACACATGCACGTGTAAATGTCTGTAGCCTTGGAGCCCACGAGATCCCTCCATCTCAGCCCTAGAGCCTCTGTCCCAGAGCCTGCCACTGGCTCGTCATCTCTCCTCTGTAGTCAGAGATATCCTCAGGAAGAGGCAAATTTGATTATTGGGCAGCAGAAGGGGGAATCTTTGTATTTCTTACTGGTCTTACCCACCTCAGTGTATCAACTTATGGGAGCAAAGTTTGTTTTGTTTTGATTACTTGGGCTCCACGTGCAGACAGCAAGCCGATTCCATCTTGGTACTTTGCTCCCTCAAGTTGGCTTATCCCAGCTCTAGTTCCCAGCTCCATTGCCCCATAACCTTAGGATGCTCAGCGGTACTGGCCCTTTTCTTGTTCTGCTTTCTCAAATAACACATTAAGATGCTTTTGTTTGCTTATTTTAATATGGACCTGTAGCGTCCCCTTCTTCTGGCAGATTCGTTCTTCGGGTCATGCTATGCTCTCCTCCCCTCTTTCTTAGGAACTCTGTGTCAAGGTAAGGATTAATCCCACTCCTGGAAATATATATTTCATCTCGTCCTGGTCAAGGCAGTTGGAAGCTTTGCACAGGGGCTAATCTTTCCTGTGTCTTAACTACATGGGTTTACTTTTATGTCAGGGTCTCTGAAATCCAATGGCATAAATGCTTCCTGACAGGAAATGCTAGGTGACTAGAGAGATAGGGAGGTTTCAGAAGAGAGGGTGTGACTTGGGCAAAGCTTTGAAGGATGAACAGGATTTGAGCAGGCAAAAGTGAAATGGAAGCCCCTTCTCGGCTGGTCATTGAGGTCCTTCTGGCATGTGAGTCCGTGCTGCCTTTACTTACAGCCCTGAGAGCTGATGAATTTATCATCCATTCCATCTCAAGGGGGTGAGGGGAGTACAGGCAGGCTTCCTTTCTGCCAGCTGATAATGCTGGTCGTGGTCTTTAGACAAACATCCTGGCCTCTTGGGACTGTCAGAAATGCACACTCCTGATGAGGAGAAAGGTGTCTGCTGAGCAGCCCATTCCTACATTCACTGTTCAGCACTTCGTGCCTTCTGCATTTGGACCGGATTCCAGGTCACAGCGGGACCCAGGCAGATGGGTGCGGTCACAGTCTGCCGACATACATACTTCAGACCTGCTCATGCCCCATGACACTGGACTTGCTTGAGACTTACTGTGAGGGTCAACTGTTTCAATGACACAGACCTAACTCAGCATGACTCATGTCATTTTTACGTGAGGAATACTCAGCACCTTTTTTCCCCCGTCTCCCTCCCCGTGTA